GCAGGAGGAGGACGACCGACCTCCTTCCACGAGAAGAAAAAGAAGAGGAGAGAGAGAGAGAGAAAGGGAAGAAAAGAAGAGAGAGAGAGAGAGGAGAAGAGGCCAGACAGACACGCGTCGACACGGGAGAAGAAGAGATGCCGAGGGCGACGAGTAGGGAGCACGGAGGCGGAGGACGGGGTAAAAGGGCAGACAATAATGGTGGAGGATGAAAAGGGGGGCCAAACGCTCGTACGTGAAGTCGCGCGAGTGCGTGTGTGAAGGGTGTCTCGGCGTGTCGCTTGAAACGGAGCAGAACCGGTCGGACAATGGCCGAGGGAAATGAAAGAGGGACATTTTTAAAGTCACTAATTACTTCGAGAAATGCCGATTCGCTGACGAGACGAGCAGCCTCGAGAATTTTTCAACGTGTTCCGTGGAAGAATTTGAATAGATGGAGCGATCCTGCGCGTCTCGTTTCGTAATGTTTGGCTACATTTGTCGTTTCTTTTCGTTGTTTTTGTAAATTGCAAAGCGACAAAGAGAAAAGGGCTGTTGATGAAATTATTATTTTTTTTTCTTGCTACGGCTCGATAAATGTTAAATACTGAAATATCTATCACTGGCTATAAATATAAAATAATGATAAAAAAAAATGTATCTAAATGCATCTACATCCTGACATGGAAGGAAACAAAGTATAAATTATAAGAGACGGATAATGATTCGACAAACTAGCTGTCTGGTCGAGAAAGATCGGTGAGATACACGCCACGCAACAAGTAATTAGCCCGATGCATTCTACCCTTGAACCTGAAAGCGTTCAGCATCGACGTGCTCCCATATTATCGCCTATCCGACGCGATTTTCGCCATATTTTTTTTCTCTTTTCTTTATTTTTTTTTTTTCCTAGCACGGATCATTCTGTAAATTACCGTGTGTGGGACAGCTATTCGACCGGTGAAAAAAAAAAAAGAAAAAAAGGAATGCCCTGGCGGGGGTTAAAGGGAGAGAAAGAGTGGGGTTGTGTCTGGACGGTTGGCACGCTTCTCTCTGGCCCTGTCCAGATCCATGTTACACGATGCATTAATTAGTTCACCCTCTTTGAGACAATGAAATTCGTATTACGATTTTGTTGCTCGATCGAAAAAGAAAAAATTTTCTTAATATTTCTTTCCATACCTCGTTGTGAAAAGCGTGATAGTTTCTTTGAATTTCATTCGGCAAGGATGTTATTGCTAATCAATTGAAATTTATTTCACGTTTCGCGAAGTGTGGCAAATAAAACGAAAATGAATTAGAAAATCTAATCAGGTTGGTGGAACGAAAGTGGATTGACTAATTGGAATTTTTTTGAGAACGAACAGATTCCACCCGAGATAAGCCTAGAATCAACCTAGAAATATTTACTCCGCTTATCGCTTGATTCCTAGCCATTTGGCCCTTCTTGCGACCTTCCAACTTTCGAGGGACTGGAAAGTTTTCTTCCTGGAAAGATATTACGACCGAAATTTACGAGAGAGAATTTCCATTCCCGATCTCATTTCGACGAGCATCAAACGCATAAGAAAAATATCTATCTACTTTATTCAAATTTAATTTATATCTATTCCAAATTTTATTGTTCAATATTCCACAAAAATAGAGATATTTAGAGATCCATGTTTTATTATTTTATTTGGGCGCGATATATTTCAGAATTAAAGAAAAAAAGTTGTGCAATTAGGAAAATTAATTTTTACGAGAGTGGAAGGGTTGAATTTCGAAACGGAAAGTTTGGAAACCACTGGCGTGCACGGTGCATACGAGCACGATAGTGCTGCACGCACTTGACGCGCACGTGCTGCATGCATGTAGTCGGAAATGCACGCACACGCACGCACCTTGAGACGAGGACTGAAGGGTGTCTGCGCCCATGGTACACGTTGCGGAGCGCAGCGGTTCGCACCCTCCGCATACGAGCCTATTCAGACTGACATTGAACTCTACGAGGCGCTTTAAACTATTTTTAAATCGAAATGGAAAGAATTTTTAGAACCGAAATTTTTCCTAAGCAAAAAGTATCGAGAGGCAAGAAGAACAATCGACGGATTTTTGTCAGACAAAAGTAAATGTCTTCTTATAAAACTCGATATATGGAGTTACATTTTAAAATATATCTTCGTTAAAATTTTTAAGCAGAAAATTGTATGTATCAAAAAAAAAAAAAAAAAGAAAAGAAAAACTAATCTCCCTTCCACGTTGAATCAACAAGAACCGAAAACATCCTCACTCTATCCGTCATCAAGATTAAAAATAATTAATCCTCTCGCTAATGATTCCATTAAGAGCATTTGAGATCCGAGACTGTGTTTATCGCCAAGTTATATCACGGAATCATCGACGACGATACAGGAGCTCGTTTATCGTTCGTTCCAGCGGTTTTCAACCTGTGGATCGCGATCCACAAGGGAATCTATCATTTCTAATTAATGATATTTAATATAATTGCCATATTCTACTTTCAAATATCAAGATAATCCCTCCTCAACTTAAGATAAAATCGTACGAATTTTAAATTTTCCTCGTGCACGATATCACCATATTAATGAATAAAATGGGACGAAAAGAGAGAATGAAATTTTTTTTGAAATAGATTAATTCTCCAGTTGGATACAAATAAATTATCAATGTCGTTTCACCATTTAAAATCCCCGTTTTCTAGAGAATTTTAACTTTTTATCAAGCGAACAAACTTCATCCCTTCCTTTCGTACCTCCTCCACTACATGGTACAATTGTAAGTCGCAAGTTATAACGAACGAGGGTCTTCGTTGTTCAGAAAAAAGGATGGAAAACAGTGGTTCGTTCGACACAGATGTAACGCGAAATTCTTCTCTGCAAAGAAGAAGCAAGAGTCGCTCTTTTTGCGAGTGAGTCCAACACTCTCTCATCCAAGAAGACGTTCGAAGGCATGGCCGAAGCCAGCGGAGCGGAGGAACCGTTCATCTCCCTACTCTTCGTCACCGGGCCTTGGCCTCCAGTCAGCCGATAATACGGACGCCACGATAACGCCGACAACTATTTTAAAAACGTCGATTTGGCCCACTCGGGATCAACAACGCCCCCTCCGCCTCCCTCCTCTTCCTATCTACCTGCATTCCTCGCAGTGCAAATAAAGAGGCGACCACAGCGTTGTTTTCGCGTCTGCCCCCGTTCGTGCAAACAAACCGAACAGTCATGGATGATGATTCCGTGTCCTCATGTAATTTGGGCTGCATAAAGCGTGGGTGGATGATTTAAGGGTAATGTGCATGTTTGTTGTTTCGTCGAGTGGGCGAGCGGTTTCAAGAGCGAATCGAGAAACGGTTGATTTTGACGAAGGTTGAAAATTGACGCGTGCACATGATTTGGTAAAGAGGTGGAAATCGAAAGAAGAAATTTAATTAGGAAGGGATATTTCAAATTTCGTGGATTCTATTTCTATTTTAATTATTACGATTAGCAATTGAAGGAATTTGAATTTTTTTCTAAGTATGAATGGGAAATATTTTCTTTGAAAAAAAATACGTAAGGTATTATTATTTCAATCGTTGTACGTAATTTAATCAAATTGTAAAGTTTCAGGTACCACGATTGAAATTGTACAACCGTTGCTGTGACTCGTCACCTCGATTTCCAGCGCATTTAATTCAATCGAATTCAAAATATTTTTCTCCATGATATTCTCAATATTCATTATTCTCGACATTTCTTGCCTACTAAAAATAAATCAAAATTTCATTCTTCTAATTAAGAAGAAAAATTGGTGGAGCAACTCGAATGAAGAAGAAAGAAAAGTGGTTGAATAAGTTTCGAAGCATCGAAAGGAGAAATGTATTTTGAATGAGACGAAACGTTCACTATTAATACAGAATGCGGGCGAAACGTATCAGTGGGTTTTCGGGGCGCTTTCCGGAATTTCTCATGGCCAAGGTCGTGGCACTCGCGTCATCTCTTCGAATATACAGTATATTTAGAACGAGCACGAAGATTGTCTCTTTTCCTCGGTTAAGAAATTAGCATAGATCGTGGAAACCCATTGTCTATTCTCGTGAACAAGGATAGCGCAGTAGGACGAGTATCTGATGACGAGTAAAAAAATATTTTTCACATCTTTTGTTATGTAATCTAGATACGGTTTATGTCCATAATTTTTTTTCCTTTTTTTTTTTTTTCTTAACTCAAAAAATCTTACTGAAATCTTTGCTTTCAATTATATAATAAAGAGAAAAAAAAATCCCTAAAAAAAGATTCAAGAATTATATTTCTCGACATAAACCCTATCCCAAATCTGATAATATTCTGATTTTCTGACGAGATATTTTTGCAGCTACGATAATTAGACGAAATCGACGTATCTTTTCAATTTAAATCAAGTCAAGATTAATCAAAGTTTCAAAAACGAGAGTCAATGGCAAGGACAAGATATGTTTCGTATATTCTTTATCTTTCAATTGATAACACCGCGGTAAACACCAAATATATTAAATGAATCGTAATTCTGATGACTCAAACGCGCAAGTTAATTAAGCCTATAAGACATATTAAACAATCTTCCAAGTATAATCCAAAAAAAAAAGAAGAAAAAATAAGAATCAACATTTACTTACAAAACAACCGGATAATAAACAATATTCTAAATATATTCCATGAAAAAGTAAGAATTTCAGAATCAGTTTCATTACAAAACAAAAAATAGCAAGGATTATTAATCAACTTAACCATGAACCATGATAAATTCGACGAGTTCGAATTATACAATTCTAGGGGATGAATATCGATATATACGATTCCACGAGCAATTGAACATCGATCCATGGAAAATGCGATTTTCCACGTTCCATCCAAACTCGATTCATTCGAATTCCAAACCCTCATCGTTCATGGGATCTACTCCCTTTATCAGCTACGTCATCGTAACCGTGATAACGCGCCTCCCGTTCAATGTCATCGAAACGAAAGCCGTATTTTCACAACTGCGACTGGCCGCCGTTTATCAGAGGAAAAATCAAGCGTGACAACCTGTCGTCCGACTCGAGTATCATCGAGCCGTGCAAACAGAGAGTTCCAACCACCCTCTATGAATTTGTAAACGTGAACGTCGAAATTATCTCTGAATTCCGGCGAGTTTCCATCCAGTATTTTCATTAAATTTTCTGAATTCGATTACATTTGGATAAATATTCAGGGAAATGAGAACCAATTTTTTTTTCTTTTTTTGAAATGAGATAAGATATTAAAGATACTAAAAAATTGTGAATCCTCAGAATGTACGAGTAATTTTCTCTTGTAAATTTAATTTTTAAAAAACTAACGTGACAATTAAATATATTTATCTAGATAATTTTTCACTCGATAAATTTTAAATATTTGATTAAAGTTTTTTAAATACATGTAATATGATCCTCTATTTGATAAAAATGTGTCTGTGACTTAAGAATACTTATTTTCTATAGAAGTAAAAAATAAGTAGATGAATAATAATAACAGAAGATTCCTTTTTTTTTTTTTTTTTTTAATTATTAAACGAATTCGCATCATTTTTATCAAGTGGCAAGTATAAGGGAAAAAATGAATCGATGTGTATTAAAATGTGTAAATCACAATTGATTTTTATCGATCGCACGATCAGTAGATGCTCGGCCCTGACATTAAACGCGACAATGTCAGTGACTTAAATTGTATTTGCGTGTCGAGGTCGTTATCTTAACAAACCGGTCGATCTTCCATGCCGAAACTGTTTGTTATTTAAATTTCCAACGGGACCGAGATGCCTGCGAGATTAATATTTGCACAAGTTTAAACAGGTTTCCAACACGCTCAGATAGTTCCATTCGCTTTCGTTTAGCAATAAGTTGAAACGAAACTTTAATTATTCGATTTTATGCGTGCTAGTTTTGAATTTTATTATTATTCTACATTTATCGTAATTCACTTTATTTTTCTTATACATGCATATTATATTAATATTAATTTTCTTATGTAATTTCTTTAGATAAACGTTATAAAGATAAAAAGCATCGTTGTAGAATAAAAATTAATGAATTTTATCTTTAAAAACACTTTGGACAAAAAACACGACATCTTTTAACATTTGAAATTTAAAATATTTCGTATATAATCTACCGAAAAGATCTCAATAAAAAGTAAAATACCGAATAAAATTCCTAATAAAACTCGAATAAAAGAAAATAACACTTACATAATTAAACTTCATCCTGAAGAAAATCCAAGAGAATTAATACGAAATACAATTCTTAATTTTTAAACGTAATTTCAAACTTACATCTAACCTAACCTAACCTTTAAAATTAAGAATTCAGAACTATTTTGAAACGAAATTCAAATTAATGTTACCATCATCGCAAACTGTTACGAATACAAAATGGGAATGAAACGTAACTAGAAACAAGAATAGATTATAATTAACGGCTAGAACGTAATATTTGCCATTTTTGTAGCACGTCCAATCGCATCGTCCGAATCAATAATGGTGGCCGCGCGAATCGAGCGACTCGCATATGCAGATTGTTTCGCCAGCAAGGAGGCCTCTGTTCATCGACGATGGATCGATTATCGATTATCAAGCAGCTCGAGTATTACCTTTCAAGGGACGAAGCCCCCGTAACGCATTCGTCTCGAACAACGTGTCTATTGAACCACTTCATCGATTTACTTTCGTTTTCGAGTTCACCTTCCGCCTATAATCTCGTGTGTCTGCCTTTCGATGCCAATTTATTTGAATTAATAACGAACAGTAGGTAAAGGGGGATTGTAAAACGGTCGGTACTCGAGGCTTGAGTTTCGAGAATAACAAGATTTTATGTCGTTCGAAGTGCACGTGCACTCGAGTGATTCGACTCTGTTTAACAAAGTCCGTTTGTATACAACGTGTAAAAACGAGTTATCAATCATTCTGCTTGCCAAGAACATCGATTAATACTTTTTATAAAAGAAAAATATTTGAACGATGAAAGAATTATAAATTAATTGTAAGAGGATTATAAATTTATGTTACAAGAGCTATTGTAATCGTTTATTTAGGTTAAGTTATTAGGTTGAGATAGTGAAAGGTGCGATGAATCGGATAATAAATCAAATAATTATATAAAATTAAAACTATTGTAATGATATAAATAATTCAAATTAAAATAGGAGAATCTATTTGAAAATATATCCTTGAATTCAATAATGTAAATTAAAAATACTTTCAAATAAATTATTACTATTATTAATGCTTATTCTTCATAAATTAAACTACTTTAAATGGCAGAATTTTATCAAATTACATAACTATACCTTATCATATCAAAATCCATCCCAAATTTATTAATTATACCGAATCGTTTCTGGCAAAGAAAGCTATATTTCACTAACACTACAATTCTCGTTTCATCAATCTAACCTAACCTCTCGTATCCCTACGAAATCTCCAAAAGCTAACCTTTTTCTACAAAAAAAACACCTTAAATACTGTAATATTGCGTGAAAATTGAATATGCGACGCTCAACAAAGAGTTATATCCTCTTCCACCGTAATTTAACCAAAAAGAAAAAAGAAAAGAACCGCGTGCATCCGCGAAGTAAAGCCACGACTGTTTGCTTACACGCCACGACCGATATATTCAGAGTAAAAGAGCACCGTATACAAACCGGATAGCGGTGAGAGGGAGCTTTTACCTCCTTCGAAGAGATGAAAAACTTATTTTTAGGCACGAAATAGCTCGATCGAGCTTTCCAACGTCGCGGCACTGTCAACTTTCTCTCCCCGTCTCTCCTACGCGTTCGGCCTTCGCGTTACACAAACGTCCGGCTGTCACGAAGAGCGCAGACGATAGCGCTTAGCGGGGCTTATCGTTAATGAAACGTACAGACGTAAACACTAAACATAGTACACCAGGCGGAACACGAGGAACGCTGTGAACATCGGAGAGGAGGCGTCTCTATATTTGCTCCTGTTTTTCATTCAAGATGGCAATTATCGTTCGTTTGAAAATTTGTCACGAAATGATGACGCATTTTTTTATTTCGAAGAATCGAGAAACAAAGTTTTTCTTCAATTATTAACGATTAACGGTTAATAAATATAGCGATGAAAAGATGTATCATATATTTTTTTGTATTGAATATATTTAGATGAAATATGAAGTATTTGATGTAGAGATCCGAGTTGAGCAAGGTAATGGAAATTTTTCTAACTAATCGTAATCTTGTTGGGAAACGTTTATGCAAATGATCCTTTGTTACTATACACTATGTGATTATGATAACTACGGAGTTTCTAAATATTGGTTTGTTTTATTCGAGTACGTGATACATTAACTGTTATCTTTAGATCGGTTGTTTTAACTTCTATGGCGTGGTAAATTCATTGAACGTTATTCAGAGATTGAATGGATAAAATTAATCGTGACGATATTCGATTTGCATGATAATATTTATAACGAATTGAATTAAAATATTTAGGTTAGATAATTTTCGATTTTTCTCATAATAATCTTCCTTCTATATATTCTGTGAAAGTTTTAATTTTAAAATGAGAAAGTTGAAAAGATAACCAATAAAAATACGTATAATGCGACTTAAAGTTCAAGATTTAACATTGATTAAGATCTAGATAATCTAGAATTTTCCCTTATGGATCAATCAGTTCGATTATTAAAAGTAAATCATCGATCTGACGAAATTATTTCATTTACAATTTAAAAAATATATATATTACGAATACTCGAACGTCTAATAAGAAAGAACATTATCATTATCATAATCTATCCCCTAAATATCAATTTTATCAATTTTTTGCAATCATTATTGTAAAAGACGCTACGATATTTAAAAAACCAGATTACGAGTATCAATCGAAATTATTCATTTCTGCGTATTTAAACGATAACGGAGAAAAGCTCAAAATCCAAATTTAATCGTTATTCTTAGGTATTCTTATTAAAAACGAAATAAATCCTTAAAACCTAACCTAATATTGATCGAGTTGTATTTAGACGAAGTTGAAACATACGATATATTAACCTCATATATTTCAAATTGAAATACATGTAATTAAAAAGAATTTCAAAATTTTAAATAACATTTATAATAATTGTACATTCGAAAATTTATCTTACGTTTTAAATATCTCAATTTTTGTCGTCGATCGGAGAAGATAACATTTCGAAATAAAATTAAAAATCTTAGATTCTTCGTATTATTTACTATTATAACGAAATTATCTAACGTTATATCGTTCGAAGAAAAAAAATATATTAAAACTCACCGAGATCAGGAATAGAACTAGTAGGCTCCTCGTGGTGGCCCTTACCCTCGTTGGACGCTCTGGCTCGGGGGGGCGGAGGCGGTGGCGGTGGTCTCATACTGGACGTTGAACTGACTACAACGGTTGCTGGCGGTGGTTGTTGCGTTGGTCCTCCGTTTCTATGATTTCCTCGCATTTGAGACTGTGGTGACATCAAAACCGTGTCACCACGGTGCCCCTGGGGCGGCCTGGGGCACCAGCCATGAAGCACCCTGATCGCACTCCTTACTTCCGCCTGGATTTCGGCGGTTCTGTCCCTTCCTGTGTGAGCCACGTTTAATGCGTTTCACCCGCGGCCGCGGGTCACTGGATTACACTTGAAAATCTCTCGCGAAAGACCGTTACGATCGGCTTCATTCACGAAACACGCGAGCACATTAATAGCCACTCGTGGACGAGTCACCGAAACGACACTCAATTTCGGCGTAGATTCAGACACGAACGAGAGCACAATATTTACTTCAGTCACCAACGATGCTTGACTCACTCGGTTTTGTCGCTGTTTCACTGTATCTCCGCGCGGATGTCTCTCGAATGTCACGGTCAATGTCTTGCGGCGGCGTGACACCTGCAATGGAAGCCCTCGCGGCGATACTCCGAACTAATCACTCACTTTACGCGCGCCACGAGTTCGATTTCGACGTTAACGACATGTAATCGCGTCCCATCGAGAAATTGCAATCACCGACGAGTAAATATTCGATCGAGGAAAAACGCGAACTGTCTCGATGTCACGAAAAAATTCGAATCACTGTCCACTTTCAAATATTAGACGGAATATTTCTCGTCCATGAATCCACACACGTGTCGATCCTTCGAGCGATCGTCTGTTAGAAATATCGATACATAGTCCGTATCGATTCCAGTTCGTTAGAGAACTCGAATGAACACTATGAAAGAATACTATGACGTAATATTTCAATTCTCGAAATAAGAATACGAAAAATGAATAGTTTTTCGATAGATAAGCATATTTAAATTATAGTTCTAATAATTAATTTGAGAAAAAAAATAATAAACCATTAATTCCAAAAGTTGATCGAAATATTTCCATTCATAACCTCAGAAATCGAAAGATGTCACACAATTAACGTTTCACAATTTTTAATAACACATGTAAAACACAATTTTGATCGCGTTCGAAACATCGAAATATCACTGATAGAAAATTTTCAATCTTCACAAAGCGTTATTATCGCACGATAAAAGAATGCGTAAAGGGAGAATACACGTAAGGCAGGTCCGCGTGGACGAGTGTTTCTTAGCAGTTCGCCGAAAACAACAGTCCTCGGAATACGAGTAGTCCCTCGCGAGCCACTACCGACCTTTCCCTCTCTCCCACCACCCACGCAGCGTCCTCCTCCCTTCTGCTTTCTCGCTCCCGCTTTCGTACTAGAATTACTCTCCCCCTCTCTTGGAGCACTCTCGGTTTTCCTCTGTCACCCTTAACATACGATCGAGACGAAGACAGCGACCGAGATCCACCTCCACGGTTGACCGCGGTTTATCGTCACGAAGGCCTCCAAGAGCGTCAACCCCTGCTCGAGTTTCGTCACGAGGTAAATCAAAAGCAACGTGACTCCGTTGAGTCTCGCGACAACCAGACTAGCTTCGATTACGCACTTTGTGTTTGTCTCGCGCGACAGGTTAGCGTCGTTTCTCTCACTTCGATCGTTAGTCGATATGATCGATCACGTGGTCGAGACAAACATGGGAGATCATTGCGAAAGCGCGCCCTCTATGCTCCACACTTTTTCTGTTCGATTCTATCGAGACACTTCCTTGATGAAAAGCACGTGGATCAGTGCGTAATGTGTCACACTCACGGTCAAACGGAAAAAAAAAGTCGGTGGTTGGAGCGCAGACGGCAATGAGCCGACGACGACGAGAACCGTCATCGGCGCCGGCGAAAGTGAGAGTGCGGCCGGCCGCGATGGATTCAGCGGTGCATAAGCGCTCTCGTTTCTCTCTCTTCCTCTATCTAGATATCTCCCTCGCTCCCGATATCTCTCTCTCGGTATTATATCTGTTTCATTCTTGCCCTCTGTCTGTCTCTCTCTGTCTTCTTCCGTGCGTACGTTCGTCTTCGTTCTGTTCTCTGTCTCTCTTCGTTTCTCGCTTCTTCTCACTCCCTATTTCGTTCTCTATCGCGCCCCTATGGATAGCCTATAGCCTGTGGCGAACGAGCATGGTTCGACCTATAGCGTTCGACGTTCCAGCGCGCTATCCGCGTGCACTGACAGCGCATGTATATAAAGCGACTGCTTCGCGATACGACCCCACACTATGCCACGTAACACGATCTCCCGGTGCGCACACACTACCGCGCCGTTTTCTGTCTTTCTTTTACACACACTTGTTCCCTATTTTTTCTCTTTCTCGATTTCGTCTATTGCCCTTTCTTTCTTTACTTTTAATTCTTGTCCCTTTTCTGATAACGTTGTCTCGCTCATCTCTTCTCTCTTTACAAATATCTTTGTTTTCTTTGTTTCTCCCGTTTTAGCTTCTATTAAATTAATTTTTTTCATCATTATTTCCAATCTCTATCTTTACTCCTCTCTATCTTCTATATCTCGTACCACGTTCTCTCTTTCTCTGCTTTTATTTCCACGATCTGATTAGACGAAGACAACGAAATACATGTCCTGTACACAATCTCGCAACCGGAAGCAGATGAGAAGCCAAACCTTCCATCACACCTACCCTCTTGAATTTCTTTCGCGCGCGTGTGTTCACTGGAACGACACGCGGCGCGTGCGCATTCATAGCGCGCGAACTACGCGAAGGGCTGCATTTATACGAAACACAGATGTCCAACACGACAAGTGCATCAAATAAAACGCGAGCATATATCTTTTGAAACAGGGGTTCCTCTAATTTTCATAGTTGTATACTAGCCTGAAGACAGTTTTTTTCGCTGTAGGACGGATATTGAAATGCGTAGGATACACGTACCGCCTACAATAAATGCAAACGGACTTGCGCTAATAGGATAGCAGGGGTTGCAAAAGGGCAGACAGAGAGAGAAGCTAGTCGTGCTACCCATGCTTAACCTAGACGCGTGTGCGTGATTGGTGCATGCAACCAAGAGAGACAGGAGTGGACAATTATTCCAACTTGGTTGGGACACGCAGTATATAATTGCATATATTGCTACATCACGAAATTTATATAAAAATTAGTATGAGTTATATTTAAAATATTTAAAAAATTATACACTTCTCATTCCACAATTATACACGCATATAAATTATATGATTCTACTTTAGATTGTTGAATTTTTGAAATGATCATCGTTGACAAACGAGTTTTTCTCGTACAATCTAATAGGGAAATTTTACGTAATCCTCTGCTAATTTCTGATATCATTCGAGCAGAGTATGAACGGGGCTATGCACAGTGTAGCGACAAGCCTGACGTAAACGACCAGCCGATAGGCAGGGGTGGTTGAGTGCGCGGCCGCGGTTGCGCGGCCGCTATCATATGGCCTTGTCCTTGAATGAGGCTCGTGAACCCGACTGCCGCTTTTATCGATCAGCCCCCGCATCCCGCTTCGACGCACTCGCTATAACCATCCATCTATCTCGATGCAATGGCGTACCTAGCCGTGAGTACTCCCGGATCAATGTGGCTGCTCTTCAACGGTCGTATATATCGAGCCCTCGTATGCTATATTCGTAGACACTCATCGACTCCTTTGATCCAAACCTTCCTTCATCCATAGTCCCTAGATAGAGATAATTCTACTTTCGAAAAATGCAACTGTGCATTTTCCGTTTTCATAGTAACCTTATTCTCAAAGGAAGCGAATATCAATAATTTAGGAAGACTGTTTCTAAGAAATTTTGGTTAAATAATAATACTCTTTGATGCTTCGTTCATTGTAAAAAAAAAAATTAACAACGATGACATGATTAATTTCAAATCAGTTTCATATTTTCCTAAATTTTGTTGTTTATAATTTAGAGAGATAATATTTCGATTTAAATATCGATATATTATTATTATATAATCGCAAAGAGTTTTGTAAGAACGTGTATCCGTTATAAAGAATTATATTCGAGGCTAGACGATTGCGGAGCACGTTCATCTGGTTCGTCGAGAGAAACAGACCGATCGCTGAGACGAATCCCCCTCCCGGTCGTGTCGAGACGCGGAAGAATGGATTATAATAAGTATAATGGCGTAGACATTAAACCCTTCTGTATTTCGTTCAAGGATCCCCTTAGAAGCGGGCGTTGTAGGTCGACTAGCGAAGGTCAAGGTCTCCCTTGTCGAGGATTCCAGGCTGACACTCGTTCCTGCACTCCGTACCAGTGCCCCTGAATGTCCTGGAACACCGAATTTTCGGCCTTAATAGAATAATATACGGGACTAAGGGATACGGGTTTACAGCCTTTGTCCCCCGTATTGCTTGTATGGCTCACGTCGAATTTTTCTCCTGGTTAAATACGTCGGAGAGAATAGCTTCGAACGATTAATTGTATTCGTTTGTGTTCTTTGTAATCTTAATTCTTTTGTCTGTCATCGTATACTTAAAGAGGAATGGAATTTGTAGTTGGGATTTTTTTTTTTTTATTCGTATGATGAAGAGAATTATCGTAAATCTTATTGATCGTTTAAAAATTCTCGTTTAATAACTAATAAAATTTGAAATCTATCTCGATATAATAGCTCAAACATCGTTCAATACACTTTTGATTGTCGTAATTAAATTTTTTTCTCCGTTCCCCGACTCCGCAATAAAAGTCAGCGTTCTGTAACTGACCCGATAAGAACGAGTTAAGATAACTTTCTGAATATCGATCAATTTAATTTCCGATGGCATAAGTAGATTACCAGTGAATATTGTCGGCAATAAAATGAAGCGATCGTAATGATTATTTCGCGGATATATAACGATTATTCTTCCCTTTGATAAAATAAATGAATCGGATATATCTTTGAAGAAATTTTCAAAAGAATCCCTTTAACACTTCGCAAATCGATCCAGCCAGGCTCAAACTACGCACTCGACTTTTTCAAAGGCAAGCTTTTAATTGTGCGCGAATTTTTAACGATTCGCTCGCCAAATGAAACCACCCTTAACAAAAAAAAGAAAAATGTGTGTGTATATATCTTTATCTGTCGGCTCACATAATCATCCAGACAGATGAGGGTCCCTTATCTTAAAATGTATTACAATCTCTCCCAAACTTTCCTCTCGCACTTCTTCTAAATAAATTCTCGACTCGAACGAATTTTTCTTTCGAAAGAGTTCAACGAATTATCTCGATTATCTCAAATTTATTATTCGAATCTCAATTTTTATCTATCAACCCCTGATTATTAGAAATCGTTTGGCTCTCTAAAACTTAATTCTGAAAACACATTTCTTTTTTTTCTTTTTTTTTTTCATCATTCATAAAAATTGAATTCCATCCAGAATCACGCCACCCGAAATTCTATTCACGAGCAGCGGCCTTCTATTCCACGAGCCTTCCACGAGCAACAAGAGTTTGCAGACCACGCATAATGCGTTCGGTGGCCCTCCCCCCCTTCCTTCTCACACGCAGGGGGTAATCTCCGTGTGGTGGCCGGCCGCGAGACCCGCGACCAACGTATTACGTGTCCGAGGTCGTAGTTGTTTAGATCTAGATGAACCTGAATCATCAAACCGGTCTGAATGTAGTGCGCGGCTGGCTCCGTGGTGCGGCTCAGCACGACTCTCGTTGGATTAGGTTAGGGACAAGACGCGTTATAGCACGCATGAGTTAGAATAGTGAAGGAGGGAAGGGAGTGGGGGGCGAGCTAGGGAACCGAGAGAGATCGACGCGACGAGATAGAGACGACAACGACGACGACGACGACGACGACGTTGGAGATATTGTTCTCGAGT